TGAACAAGAACAGGACGGACCTCCACACACCCTCACATGAACAAGAACAGGACGGACCTCCACACACCCTCACATGAACAAGCGACGCTCATCATAAATGGTGAAATATACTTGGCAGATAATTAAGCTCTTAGTACACGAGAGTGTTAATAAAATATTCATAAACAAATGGATCCAATTATAGAGGTTTGACGGCCTCACGACGCCTCATCACACCAGGCAAGATGGACTCACATTTATTCTCAGTTTTAAGACAACGGTTTTATGTATTTAGTGAAGATCTTACTCGGTCATCAAGATATATCCGATGTGTATTAAACGTATAAACGGTAGAGTGGGTTCGGTTATCGAGACCTGACCAATATGGCCGGAGGTGACACGCGGTGGATGACTAAGTGGATCCTGTATAGAGAGCGCTGGAATATGTTCACTACACTTCATACTATTCTCTTATGTTACCCTCCAAGATCGGCACCAAGTACCTTATTTGTTTATGATCACTACATCCAACTGAATCTACTACATTGTTCACATATCTCTAGTAATTATACACGATAGTTAATTAACTTACGAATTAAATGAGACTAAATACTGCGGAATGTGAGGGAGAAGATCCCAAACATTCTCTCACGACCCAAGAAGTCAATTGTGAAGAAAAACACACATAGTGACTGGGTCTTAATAATAAGGTTGTGTTATTAGCGAGGTAAGGGGCTGATGCTGCCAGCCACCGCCGCTATCATCTTTAAATCATTCTTAATGAGGACTTTCCGTTCTGAATATTTATTACTCTGTTTCGCCTCTCGCTTCTACTCTTTTTTTTTTTTTCATAGTCAGTTTGTGATGGACCACCCGTGTGAAGCTGGCGGACCATATTGAAGATAAGACGCTGATATATATGTAATTTATCTAATCATTATTTTCCCAATTGCTTGCAACATCAACCACCAGGTATTGCTACTTAACTCACATTCCCTCGTAACATTGACTCAGGAACACAGGAACCAGGCTTAACACACACGGGATAAACCACATAATCCACTGAATAATAATAATGATGTTTAGCAGCGGTCTTCACTTTCCTCCCTGCCTTTCGTTAGTCATTTAGGGTTGAGGGTATGAATGAGCGGTTCACTGCCTCTTAGTTGATAAGTGAGGATAGAGAGGACAATGGCGAGTGAGGATAGAGAGGACAATGACGAGTGAGGATAGAGGGAACAATGACGAGTGAGGATAGAGAGGACAATGACGAGTGAGGATAGAGAGAACAATGGCAAGTGAGGATAGAGGGGACAATGACGAGTGAGGATAGAGAGGACAATGGCGAGTGAGGATAGAGGGAACAATGGCGAGTGAGGATAGAGGGAACAATGACGAGTGAGGATAGAGGGTACAATGACGAGTGAGGATAGAGAGAACAATGGCGAGTGAGGATAGAGAGGATAGAGAGGACAATGATAGTGAGGAAGGGACGACGATGAGGATAGAGAGGACAATGACAAGAGTGAGGATAGAGGACAATGGCGAGTGAGGATAGAGAACAATGGCGAGTGGGGATAGAGAGGACAAAGGAGTGGGGATAGAGAGGACAAAGCGAGTGGGGATAGAGAGGACAATGGCGAGTGAGGATAGAGAGGACAATGGCAGTGAGGATAGAGAGGACAAAGCGAGGGGATAGGAGGACAATGGCGAGGAGAGAGAGGATAATGGCAAGTGAGGATAGAGAACAATGGCGAGTGAGGATAGAGAGGACAATGGTGAGGAGGATAGAGGACAATGGCGAGTGAGGATAGAGCGAACAATGACGAGTGAGGATAGAGACAATAGCGAGGTGGAGGGACATTGCGAGGATAGAGGAACAATGACAAGGAGGATAGAGAGAACACTGGCGAGTGAGGATAGAAGGACAAAGCGAGTGGGGATAGAGAAGACAATGGCGAGTGAGGATAGAGAGGACAATGACGAGGTGAGGATAGGGAGAACAATGGCGAGGAGGGAGAGAGAGGACAATGACGAGTGAGGATAGAGAGGGACAATGACGAGTGAGGATAGAGAACACTGGCGAGTGAGGATAGAGGACAATGGCAAGTGAGGATAGAGAGAACAGCGAGTGAGGATAGAGAGGACAAAGCGAGTGGGGATAGAGAGGACAATGGCGAGTGAGGATAGAGAGGACAATGACGAGTGAGGATAGGGAGAACAATGGCGAGTGAGGATAGAGAGGACAATGACGAGTGAGGATAGAGAGGACAATGACGAATGAGGATAGAGAGGACAATGACGAGTGAGGATAGAGAGGACAATGACGAGTGAGGATAGAGAGGACAATGACGAGTGAGGATAGAGAGGACAATGACGAGTGAGGATAGAGGGGCTAGATAGTGCTACAGAAGGGAAGTGAGTCGGGGATCATGTACATTGTACAGTATGTGTCTTAAAGCCTGATGGTATGACCTCTCACCCCTAGGACAGCCCACCACTGACCTCTCATTCCTAGGACAACCCACCCCTAACCTCCCACCTCTAGGGCAACCCACCCTTGACCCCCCCACCATCACAACAGCCCACTCCTGACGGAATCCTGACCAATGCTTCCAAATTCTCTACACAAAAATCTTATGACGAATATTTTTGCTTATTTTTAAAAAATTTCTTCTCAGTTGTCGGTGAGATACTGAGATTATTTAGAATTAGATTTTGTATTCACACACTTGTCTTAACTCAGCGTCTTACTGTGATTTTTAATAATAATAATAATAATAAAAATAATAATAATAATAATAATAATAATTTATACCCAACAGTTAGGATATACAATACACTTGCCACTGGGTAATTATATTGTACAGTAATAAAGAAATGTTGGAAATTCACAATGATAACGTTAGAAAATACTACACAAACACCTCATTCCCAGTGCTTCACCCAATACCAGTGTCTCAGTCATTATCAGTGCCAACAGGTAACCATTAGCCCTTTCCAGTACCTAGTCTCACCCTCCTGCCACCTTCCTCCTCTCCCTAAAATTTATCTGATTTGTGTTTCATGTTTATTATTTTTCCTCCACTTCCTTCCATCTAATCATTTCCAATTTCCTCTTTAAAATGAGTGAAATTAATTCTATTGTATAAAACATCAATCAAATTTCACTTAGATTCCTCAGATGTCAGTACGACTTTCACCTGTAATGATGCTCTCTTGCCCCAGGTGCGTTATCAGTGTTGTTTGCTATCTATATGACCTCGTGGCCCTCTTCCTGACCCCGGGGCTGTCGGTGACCTGCCAGTGACCCCGAGGGGTGGCCCCAGCCGGAACTGTCCCTCACCTGTCATCAAGTTAAAGAGCTGCCCCTCTCCTCTCACCTCAAGATTCCATTTAGATTATTGTCTGATGTTGTGGGTGCTGTTGTGCTGTTGTGTTACCGCTGTGATGCTGTGTTGCTGTTATGTTCCTCTCTTAATTTGTGTTGTTGTTCTACTGTGTTGCTGCTGTGATGCTTTGCTGCTGTTGCTGGGCTGGAATAGTACTTTTGCTGTGCTGCTGTGGTTCTCGGTGGAAAGCTGTTGCTATTACCCCGTCAGAATCTCAGTCCTCCCCTGTCCTACCCGCCGTCCACATCGACCTGTCTTCTGTCTATCACATCTTAACTTCTGTCCTCTTTCCATCTGTCCAAACTTCCTTCCTCCCCTGTCCTCAACCCTGTCCAGTGACCTTCCATCCTTCCAACCTAATCTGTTCCACTTCTGCCCGCCCCGTCCTAACCTCCGTCCACTCTGTCCTAACTTCTGTCCGCCCCGTCTTAACTTCCGTCGGCCCCGTCTTAGCTTCCGTCTGCCCCGTCTTAACTTCCGTCCGCCCCGTCCTAACCTCCGTCCACTCTGTCCTAACTTCCGTCCGCCCCGTCTTAACTTCCGTCTGCCCCGTCTCAGCTCCCCACTTTGCCAGCAACACACCGGAGTCCTAGACGAGCGTTATAAGCACGACAGATAAGATAAGATAAGGTAAGAGAGGTCACCCACCGCTCGTTAGGAGGTGATTAGGGCCGGCGATAACAACCCTTTCCTCCGGTAATTACTCCTGACTGACTTCAATCTCAAGGTTAATTCTGGATTTCTTAATTGCATCTTGTGTAATTAAGGATTCTTAAGTGATTACTGACTTAACTACTTGTGAACTGTTTTTATCAGGGTGTTGTTGTTATTATTATTATTATCATTACTACTATTACTATGCCTACGGCCTGTCAGAAAGTTATAAGTTATCGCTATTAGGCAACACACACACACACACACACACACACACACACACACACACACACACGCACACAGTGTTATGAATTATGTGGTATTAAATAATTTCTTCATATTAACAAACCAAGTCAATAAAAAGGTCCCCCGTGAGTGTCAGTAATACCAAGACACAACAAAAGTGTTCCTTAGCAACACCTGTCTCAAGTGTCTCACCTTCTGTTGTTTGTCATCCTCACCTCTCACGGGGAGGGGGGGGGTGGCTAATGTTGGCGGAGTACCATGAACAGAATGCTAAACCATATTTTTAGTAAGTAAGGATATGAACCTAACCTAACCTAGCCGAACCTAACCTAACCTAACCTAAATTAGTTTGGTTAGGTTTTTGGGGTTTGGTTTGGTTGATTAGCTTCTCCTAGGAAAAAAATATGTATAAATGATATCGCGATCGCGTTCGTGGTACACTTTTTAACACCGACCATTTTCGCAGGCAGGAGACGGTATTCATTACTGTAAATTATCCCCCGCTAATTGCCATTCATATGCTGTAATTACCTTACTAGATTTGCCGTGATTAACTGCTCGGGCAGGAATGAGTAATTGTCATGATCAAGTATAATTACCATGGTAAATCTTCATGCATTACAATGGTGAAAATAGTGGGAGTGATGTGCATACTGAACACATCGGTATGTTAGTTATATTAATGAGGGTGTATTGATCACCTGTTCCTGTCCTGCTCACTGTCTTCCTTCAGGTGCCCGGTCTGTTGTCCAGGGTGGCTGTCTGCTGTCCAGGGTGGCTGTCTGCTGTCCAGGGTGGCTGTCTGTTGTCCAGGGTGGCTGTATGGAGCTCAAGGTGGCTGTCTGTTGCCCAAGATGGCTGTCTGCTGTCCAGGGTGGCTGTCTGGTGTCCAAGGTGGCTGTGTGGTGCCCAAGGTGGCTGTCTGTTGTCCAAGGTGGCTGTCTGGTGTCCAGGTGGCTGTCTGGTGCCCAAGGTGGCTGTCTGTTGTCTGGCTGTCTGTTGTCCAGGGTGGCTGTCTGGTGTCCAGGTGGCTGTCTGTTGGCTGTCTGTTGTCCAGGTGGCTGTCTGGTCCAGGTGGCTGTCTGGTGTCCAGGTGGCTGTCTGTGCCCAGGTGGCTGTCTGTTGTCCAAGGTGGCTGTCTGTTGTCCAGGGTGGCTGTCTGGTGTCCAAGGTGGCTGTCTGGTGCCCAAGGTGGCTGTCTGTTGTCCAAGGTGGCTGTCTGTTGTCCAAGGTGGCTGTCTGGGTGGGTGGCTGTCTGGTGTCCAAGGTGGCTGTCTGGTGCCCAAGGTGGCTGTCTGTTGTCCAGGTGGCTGTCTGGTGCCCAAGGTGGCTGTCTGGTGCCCAAGGTGGCTGTCTGTTGTCCAAGGTGGCTGTCTGGTGCCCAAGGTGGCTGTCTGTTGTCCAAGGTGGCTGTCTGTTGTCCAAGGTGGCTGTCTGGTGCCCAAGGTGGCTGTCTGGTGCCCAAGGTGGCCTGGTGTCTGGCTGTCTGGTGTCCAAGGTGGCTGTCTGTGCCCAAGGTCTGTGCAAGGTGGCTGTCTGTTGTCCAAGGTGGCTGTCTGGTGCCCAAGGTGGCTGTCTGGTGCCCAAGGTGGCTGTCTGGTGCCCAAGGTGGCTGTCTGTTGTCCAAGGTGGCTGTCTGGTGCCCAAGGTGGCTGTCTGGTGTCCAAGGTGGCTGTCTGGTGCCCAAGGTGGCTGTCTGGTGCCCAAGGTGGCTGTCTGTTGTCCAGGGTGGCTGTCTGGTGCCTGGTGATGTGTTGTGGTGGTGAAATGTTTTGGTGATGCCTGGTAACAATGGCTGAGCTGCCCAAAATAGAAGGTTTGGTTAGGTTAGGTTAGGTTAGGTTAGGTTAGGTTAGGTTTGTTTAGGTTTGTTTAGATTAGGGTAGGTTAGGTTAGGTTAGGTTTGTTTAGATTAGGGTAGGGTAGGGTAGTTTATGTCAGCTGCTTAAGAAAAAACTGTGGTCACCCCGCGTGTTCATTACTGACCAGCCCTATGGCCACTCAAGGTCTATAGGAGTTATGGCTATTATGTAACTATCCCTATTTAGTGCAACACACACACACACACACACACACACACACACACACACACACACACACACACACACACACACACACACACACACACACACACACACACACACACACACACACACACACACACACACACACACACACCTTAGGACGTAGGCGTCTGTTTAATTAAGGTGAAGAAGCTGTCGCCATCACAACGAGCTGTATGACCAACTTTTAGAGAATAAACCAGAAAGACCCGACGAGTTGGAGCTGCACTAGTTAACCATTACCCCGGAACACGATCCTCAATAACATCCAGGTCCCCAATTACTGCTGGGTAGGTTAGGTTAAGGTTAGGTTGGGTTAGGTTAGGTTGGGTTAGGTTAGGTTAGGTCCCAATTGACCTGGCTAAGCTAATGAATGGCAACAAGGAGAAAAATAATTGCAAACTTATGAGTTATATGATACACCTGAAGGATATTATTGGGCAGTACACCATTACGACACACACACACACACACACACACACACACACACACACACACACACACACACACACACACACACACACAACACACACACACACACACACACACACACACACACACACACACACACACACACACACACACACACACACACACATTCCTCCATGTATGTTTTAATGTTATTTATAAAGGTAGTCGTATCTTATGTATATATTCACTGAACGTCTCCTTCACTAACATGTGCACGTGGTGTGTCAGCACAGTCCTCTACTCATTTACATGCTGATGTGTGTGTGCGTGTACGTGTCTGGTCATGGCTGTCATCGAGCCATGTGTGTACGTACGTGACTGTATGTGTTCTGGGTTGGGGTGTTGGGAGGGTGGTGAGGGGGGGTGATTTGGAGGGGCGAAGGGAGGGTTTTATGGTGGATGGGAGGTGTTGGAGTGGGGATGGAGGAGGATAGGGTGGATTGAGTGTGTTGGAGTAAAGGAGGTGGATGAAAGGGCGTTGTGGAGTAAGGAGTAAGGAGTGGGGACATACTGTACTGAATCAGCCGATCATATCAATTTAGGTCATTTTTTTTTTTAGATAGAAGAAACATTGAACATGACATAAATGAACATTGTTATTTGATAGTTAAGTCTTAATAATGTGAAGAGTGTCTCGTGTACTGTTATATAAATGTGTCGAGTGACTGTTTAATGTTCTCTGAATGATAAATGATATATAGCTTTCCTCTGCATTCATATCGTCAGTGTGGATTATCTTTTTAATTCTTTGCTCCTGATATGACTCTTGGCCTTCCTGATCTAACTGATAATGCTTTTGGCGAATGAGGGATGTTTTTTTTTTTAATCTAGTTCGTAACCTGGTGCCCGCGGAGTCATATTACGGAGCCCACAAGGGTTTATTAAAATTGTTTGAAATATTTGTAATTCTTTGTTAGAGTGAAAATGATGAGAATATGTAATGACTTGATACGACTTTATCGTTAGAGAGATAGAAGAACTGTCGTTTGTTCCTAGACTGTCGTGTACAAGACGTGTGTATTTACCCCAGACCGGGCCCAGAGAGAGAGAGAGAGAGAGAGAGAGAGAGTGAGTGTGTGTGTTTTACGAATGCATGATCCAAGAGTAAATGTAAAAGTATGTAATTAGTAACACTTAGATTTATGTAAAACTGCAAATAATTCTATATACGAATTTTTTTCTAATGTAGATCCAAAGATTTGGTGCCATTCACTATATTTACAATGACAGATATGGCCCCAGAGCCTACACAAGGTTGGGGAACACTGGTGTACACTGTGTGTATGTGTGTGTGTGTGTGTGTGTGTGTGTGTGTGTGTGTTTAGGTCCCAGCTGGTGTGAGAGGTTCTTCGGTGACAGCTGGTATCTAGGTGACATATTCGTCTTTGTAAATATCATTAGAAATCATTTGTTCTAATTTTAAGTTATATCATATTATATATCTACTATTTATTGTTTAATAAATTATAGTTCAGTTTCGTTATGTCTAATGAACGAACAATATCTCCTCGTCAGTGAGATACATAACGCAATATGTGAGTGTGTTGTAGAGATATTTACCCAGTTGTAAATAGATACATAATTTTACCGCCAAATTTATCGGGTTTAATATCAGTATGTTATAGAATCTTATTATTTATCACTGACTGTTATTGAAAGTTATTGACTCATAAGTAAAAAAAAATTCCCCAACTCGTAATTTTGCTGATGATTATTGACTCTTACTGAATGTAATTGAACTCTTACTGACTCTTACTGACTCTTACATAACGTTATTGATCGTTAATGATGACTATCGACTGTACAGTGCATGCACTAATAAGGAGGAAGTTTTTACCAGTCTTGGTGTGTGAGAATAATGAAGCGCTTCGTTCATCATGGGTTCGTGTTAATAATGTTTCGTTCTATTATTGTTGCTCTTAACTGTGAGAATAATGAAGCGCTTCGTTCATCATGGGTTCGTGTTAATAATGTTTCGTTCTATTATTGTTGCTCTTAACTGTGAGAATAATGAAGCGCTTCGTTCATCATGGGTTCGTGTTAATAATGTTTCGTTCTATTATTGTTGGTCTTAACTGTGAGAATAATGAAGCACTTCGTTCATCATGGGTTCGTGTTAATAATGTTTCGTTCTATTATTGTTGGTCTTAACTGTGAGAATAATGAAGCGCTTCGTTCATCATGGGTTCGTGTTAATAATGTTTCGTTCTATTATTGTTGGTCTTAACTGAAGGTTCGTGCAGTAGCTAAAACAACTATCTGTGCAGGTGGGGGTCGATATGCTCCCAAATTTTACGTGTGACTAGTGACAGCCCTCATATACCAAATTTATCGTCCATGGTCTCATATTGTTTCCCACAAAGTATACACAGATAGTTGTGTACCTAACTGCTCTCACTTAAATTTCTTCTAAGTAATTATTAGGTTAAATATCACTATATAATATTTACATTACCAATACTAATAAATATTTTGCTACCATATATCTGATAATTTAATATATGTTCTTAAATTATCCATATATAAAATAATCATATCATATTTACGTTTTTCCTGCCTTTGTATATTAGTGTACTATAGTTGCTCCTATGTACCTACCCACTGTATAAGAACCTGGCCCCTTGGATCACCCACTAGTATATAAAGTAGACAAGGTAGAAGTAGACAAGGTAGAGGTAGACAAGGTAGAGGTAGACAAGGTAGAGGTAGACAAGGTAGAGGTAGACAAGGTAGAGGTAGACAAGGTAGAGGTAGACAAGGTAGAGGTAGACAAGGTAGATGTAGACAAGGTAGAGGTAGACAAGGTAGAGGTAGACAAGGTAGAGGTAGACAAGGTAGAGGTAGACAAGGTAGAGGTAGACAAGGTAGAGGTAGACAAGGTAGAGGTTTGACAAGGTAGAGGTAGACAAGGTAGAGGTAGACAAGGTAGAGGTAGGTAGATAGACAAGGTAGATGTAGACAAGGTAGATGTTAGAGGTAGACAAGGTAGAGGTAGACAAGGTAGAGGTAGACAAGGTAGAGGTATATTAGAGGTAGACCATATAGGTAGACAAGGTAGAGGTAGACAAGGTAGAGGTAGACATATTTAGACAAGGTAGAGGTTTTTAGACAAGGTAGAGGTAGACTGCCTTTAGACAAGGTAGATGTAGACAATTAGTGTAGACTGTAGGTAGACAAGGTAGAGGTGTAGAGGTAGACCAAGGTAGATGTAGACAAGGTAGAGGTAGACAAGGTAGAGGTAGACAAGGTAGAGGTAGACAAGGTAGAGGTAGACACAAGGTAGAGGTAGACAAGGTAGAGGTAGACAAGGTAGAGGTAGACAAGGTAGAAGTAGACAAGGTAGAGGTAGACAAGGTAGAAGTAGACCAAGGTAGAAGTAGACAAGGTAGATGTAGACAAGGTAGATGTAGACAAGGTAGATGTAGACAAGGTAGATGTAGACAAGGTAGATGTAGACAAGGTAGATGTAGACAAGGTAGAGGTAGACAAGGTAGATGTAGACAAGGTAGAGGTAGACAAGGTAGAGGTAGACAAGGTAGAGGTAGACAAGGTAGAGGTAGACAAGGTAGATGTAGACAAGGTAGAGGTAGACAAGGTAGAGGTAGACATGGGACAAAAGTAGAAAAAATTATTGATAATGCAGTTAAAATTTAGTAATTTTGGGTCATAATAAACAAAATTACGAGCCGCTTTGTCGCTTGTCTCGTTCTCGTCCGTAGCGCCTCGTTATATGTGCATATTAGGACTGGTACGCAGTAAGACTGGTGAGTATTAAGACTGGTGCGTATTAGGACTGTTGCGTATTGAAACAGCTGTGTATTAGGACTGCTGCGTATTAGGACTGGGCCCCTAGCAACACTCACTCACTCACTGACTCTCACTACTGCAGATGCCACACGTTGCTCACCGTCAGTAGCAGCTTAAAAACTAGTCAGGACGTCCTCTGGTGGTGACTGTGTTATAAACTATTTTGTAGACCGGTTCCGTAGATGCTAATACATGATTAATTAAATACATTAGGGGCTACAAGGAGAGAGAGAGAGAGAGAACACAGATAAAACTGACATATAGCGATAGATAGATATTTAATCAACTCTACGTCAAACTAACATTGACTTATGAGAAGAAAAAAAATCCCCCTGATGGAAATTTGAGTACATAATATACATCCGAAATTATAGAGACGAAAAACACTGATATGGAGAAGTGACAATTTAATTAACAACTGATTGATAATAATGAGAATTGCTTGTGTACCTGGTGGCTGTTCAAACTATGTGACCAATTTTATAACGAAAAATATTCATTGTTTTTTTTAAGAGGAGAATTTAAAAGATGATAAAATTATACAAGTGGTTTATATTTTGAGTTATGATTTTCTGAATTATTACCACGTTTAATCTTTAAGTTGTAATGAATGTGACAGGTGATCGGTCTTAACAAGGGGGCATATTTTACATTCCTTCACATCGATACGTTTTTCGCTCTATCTGGCGTCACGTATCTTAGACACTTTTGTACTTTTAAGATAATAACAATGATTTAAGTGTGAGTCTATCGTGTGAGTGTGTCTGAAGGCTCTCACACTCTCTTACCTACATCTTATTATTGTTACCTTTGAGTGATTGTGTTAGCTGTGTTTTAAAGGTGATAAACAAGATCTTTTTTTACTCCCTTGAGTACGATGACTTAACCCTTTCTGACTTCTGCTCTGTAGTCTTTTATTTTATTTTAAACAACCGCTCACTGCAAGAGTATGAGGGTGCCCAGTAAACTAGCCACTGTCCAATCCCAAATTGCATTGATTGTGTGTAACATGAGAGTACGTAACGAACCGACAACAGAGACGAACGAAGACCTGTGTGACCGACCTCACAAGGTGTTGATGGAGGAAATTAAACTAAAATGTAATTATTTAGTTAAGTTAGTAAGAGTGAGGGATGACAGCTGGTGCGGCCTGCTAGTGTAATGTTATTCCCTGGTCGCTGCTGCTGCTGTTGTATGCATTAAGGCAGTTGTTTACACCTGGGTCGCTTCCAGTAACATATTCTTGCTGCTCTTTTGTCCATATATTCCAAATATCACTTATGAATGTCAAAAGTATATAAAATAGCTATGTAGTCGAGCAGTTATTAATAAGACAAAAAGTGCGTAATTTTCCGGCTCGTTTAAGTGTTTACTGCAGAAAATTAATACAGATGTCAAAAATGTTTGTGTTATTAATGCTTAATAAATTCTTTGTCATCTCCGTCAGTAAGTTAATTTACCTTTTAGCCAAGCTGTTCGGTGCAGCC